GGGGGGGGGGCGGGGGGGGGGGGGGGGGGGGGGGTTAGCCACTAGAACAAAGGCCTGAGGTTCTCACGGAGCACTGTCTGGGGCTCCCTGCCTCAGACCCAGTGGGCCCAGGCTGAGGGCTGCTCCTATGCCCTCCCAGGTCCAGGGCCTGCCAAGTACCTGCGGCCATCCTGCACGGGCTACGTCGACCACGACACCTCCATGTTCCAGGAGCCGGCCTACACCCTGCACAGCCGGCACTCGGAGAAGCGTGAGCCGTTGCCACCCCTGTCCCCACTCCCATCATCCCGCGAGGTTGTAGAGGCGTGGAGTCCTTCTCTGCCGCCAGAGGCCTGCCCTCAGTGGGACACTCCAGTGGCCTCTGGGCCTAGAAGGATGCCAGCAGGAAGCCCAAGTGGCCCAGCTCTCCCGAGAGGGCTTTGCAGGGACGCTGGGCTGCCCGAGCAGGGTCTCCTTTCTGTCTGCCATTGGCTGCTGTGGGCTGCCAGCTCTGGCTGCCATGTTCTCTGGCTTCACTTGCTACAGTGTCTGGGTGGAAACAGCCAGGGTGGGGCAGCCGCCTGAGCTTCCCAAGTGGCCTAGAACCTTCTGGAAGGGCAGGAGCAGAGGGCCACAAAACACCTGGGGCTGCTGGGCAGGGACAGCAAGAGGAGAGACGGGGTGTGTATCGGGTCTGAGATCTGGGGTGCCCACCCTAGGCCCTCCCCAGGGAGATATGCCCCCTTTGGCAGGGGAACCCCAGGCCGGGGTGGGCCCTTCCTTGGTAAGCGCATGGGGGCTCTTATTTCCGCTCGGTGCCCATCCCTGACCAGCAGCTAGTTTTCTTCTTTTCTTAACGGCCAGAGGGCGCGTGTGCTCAGAGACAGAGGGAGGGGAGGGAAGAAGCACCCCAGTGGGGCCCGATCATACCATGCTCTCTTCTTTTCCCCGTCCCCCACCTGTCAGGAGTTGGGGTACCCACGCACGTGCACCTGGTGTGTTTTCTCAAGCCACCGGGGCCAGCGTGCCAACGCAGTCAGCCCTACGGGGCCTGGCTTCCCTGGCCGCCCGGCCCTGGGCCTGGCCTGACCGGCCGTTACTTTCCCTGGTCCCGGAACAAGGCAGGTCCTGTGTTAAAGCCCCATTTCAGAGATGAGGAAATCGAGGGCCCCGAACACCCAGGAGCCAAAGTCGCCTGCAGGGAGCCCCTGCTCGTCTGGGGGAAGGAGGGTCTCGCCCGGGGCAGCTCCTGGGCTGAGGGGCCTGCTCGCCTGTCCTGCAGGGATTATGGACACATGCAGCCCCGGGCCCTGCTACTTCCTGGATCCCAAAATAACCCGGTTCGGAATGTCCAGCTGTCCGCAGGTCCCCATGGAGGAGCGGCTCTGCAGTCTGCGTGAGAGGGCCGGTCGGCTGGGGCGGGTGGGCGCAGAGCCCCCGAGCAGGGCAGAGCCCCCAGCCTGGCAGAGGGTCGCGACTCCCCTGCCGGGCGGTGTCCATGGTGCTGGCATCTCCCTGCAGTGTCACACCAAGACACGGAAGTCGGGGCGCTGACATCTCATGTCTGTGTCCCGGTATTTCTGTCTGGAAGCCACCGTCATTATGTGCGTGTGGCAGAGTGACGTCATGACGTCACGGGCTCTGGTGCCTACAGGGCTGTCGTGCGAATGAGCTCACAAACTGGCACTCACAGGGCGCGAAGGTCATCGCAACCCTGAGGGTATTTAGATCAGTGCCCCGCTCTGGTCATTTTGCTGTCCCCCTCCCTGCCCATGGCCTGGGCGGGGTTGAGATGGCTCCTCCCCACACCTCTGGCTAGCCAGGACCTCGACCCCCTGCCTGGATCCACGGTGGGTACAGAACAGCTGGGTCCCAGCCCTGAGACCCCTCCCCATGACCCCTCTGCTTACTTCCAGGCCTGAGCCCCACCCCGGCCCCCTGTCACTACCACCTTGAGAAGATCCAGCCACCTGGGGAACGCAGGGCTCCCCAGTACACATTCGGCTACCGCTGTCCCTACAGAGTGGGGGACCCCAACCCGGCCCCCAACCAGTACCAGCTGCCGTGCTCGCTGGGGCCCCACACGCCCGTCAAGCGAGCATCCCCCTGCTACAGCCTGGCCCCTGCAGACAAGAACTGGTTCTATAAGGAGGACGTGGCCAGAGGCCCTGGCCCGGCCACGCATGCCCGGCCCGAGCCGTCTGTCTACCAGAACCGCAGCCCCGTCTACAGCATGGCCAGGCGCTTTGCCTACCCACTGGACCACACGCTACGGCCCGGCCCTGGCACCCATGAGGTTCAGAAGGTCACCACGCACAAGCCCCGCACCCCGGCCTTCACCATGGGCATCAAGCACTCGCCTCACCTGTGCCCGCTGGTGCTCGACATTCGGGACTGAGTGCCGGCACGCTCGTGCACCCCCACTCCGCCACCCCCAGCCCGAGAGTTATTTTTCTATTCCAGAGATCCTTGACCGAGTTTCGCAGTAGCAGCGCTGGTGCCCGATGCAGGGCCAGCACGCACAGGCCTTAGATAAATATTTTCATGTAGCTCTTCCGTTGTTCTGTGAACGCTTGTGGCTCCTCCTTGCGGCTCCGCTCTGGGTAAAGGGTGGGGGTGGGGTGTGGACAGCGGCAGGTCCCCATGCTGTGCTCGGGCAGCTCCATTCTGACTCCCAGGGCAGGAGGAGGGGCTGCAGCTATGTGTCCACCCTCCAGGGGGGCTCCGAGAGCTAAGTTCCAGTTCCAGCACTGTCACCAGCATGCTGTGTGGCTTCATGCAGCTTCTGCCCCTCTCTGGGCCTCAAGGTCGCCTTGGGACAGTCAGAGGAGGTACACCTGGAAGAGACACAAGTTCCTTCCCGTTCCAAGACTGCGGGACTCTAACCCTTGGCAGTGGCCAGCCCCTAAGTGGAAGTTGGGGTACAGGCGAAGGGGGAAGGCTCGTTCTGATCGCAGGCGGGTGGCGCAGGGGGGAGTCTTCCTGGGGGAAGGACCCAAGATGACAAGGGGAGGCTGAAGGCGGCAGCAGGTGGGACCCAAGGGTGCTGTGGGGCAGAGGCAGAGCTCAGGGCTGGGCAGAGCAGCTGGGCTGTTAGCTGGGATCAGGCCTGGGCGGCAGGGAGGGTCTCAGGCTTCCTTAAAGCGGGATCAGACGAGTGTTTCTGGAAGGTTCTTTGGGCAACGGGAGAAGGCTAACAGGATGAGCAGCGCCTGGAGGGGTCTGCATGTCACATGCTGTCCTCCCTGTCACCTGTAAGCCTCTAGCCCTGCAGTTCCATGCCTGTCAGAGGAGTCTAGGAACGAGCCAGGAGGGGGCAGTGTTGCCTTGGTCTTCAAGTTCAGGCCCACCTGCTCGGGCTTCCCTGCTTTTGGGGGTCAGCTGCCAGCTCCCCTGCTGGTCTCTGGGGAGGCTGGGGTCTCTGGAGCTGGGATTGTCCTTCCTTGGCACTTGGCATCCAAGTCCCTAATTGCCCCTCACCCCCAGCTCCTCTCCTGCTTCCTGGTTCTACCCCAAGCTGCACCACGGGCCAGGGGGAGGCAGACACAGCAGGTGCAGCTGAGGGCAGTGCGGAGGCTGGAGGGTGGGAAGGGAGGGGTGGACCAGCCCCTGCCCATCGCTGAGGCCCTGGCACAGGCCCCACAGCAGAGGGGACAGGAAGAAGGGGCCACCTCGGGACCTGCATACAAAGGCTCATCCTCATTCCTGTGAGTGATTTAAACACATTTTTAATTTTAAATTTTATTAAAAAATACAAAAACAAAAACAAAAACAAACTTAGTACCTCTCTTATGGCATTTAACTCTTTTTTTCTTTTTTGCACTTAATCATTTTTAAAAGGCATTTTGGCTCTTTTTAAAAAGTTTATCGTTTTTATGAGTGAGAGACAGAAAGCAATAGAGACAGAGATCGAGACAGAGAGAAAGAGCACCTCAAAGAAAAACAAACAGAAACACTAAATGTTAGAAAGGAGAGCCTGGGGTCAGACTGACTGGCCTGACTCGGGGCCTGCAGTCCCCACATCCTGTCCGCCCCTGTCCAGGTATGTGTGCCCTGTCCTCCCTACTCCTCAGCAAGGCTGGTCCAGGCAGGCTCCCGGGAGAGCGGGCGAGCTCGCAGCCCCATCTGTCTTGCGGCAGATTAGAAAGATGGCATTTTGCCGACAATGCCATTTATCACAGCGGCTGCAAAAATTAGTGATGCTTGAGCTGAAAGTGCCGGCTGGGGGGGGGGGGGGCGGGGGGGGGGGCCCCAGCCAGTGCAGTCCCAGGTCCCGCAGGCCATCCTCGGACCAGGGGTCCTCCGATTCGGAGCCTCGCCCAGGCCGAGGCCTTCTACTGGAAAGATGAAGGACAGGTCCGGAGTCTGGACATAACTTAGGCCATATGAAAAATTAACGGTCTGTCTCTAAACAAGATCCAGGCTGAGTGTGTGATTAGGGTCAGGATCAAAGCTCAGGGCAGCCAGGGGGGAGGATCCAGGCCCGGTGCATGACCGGGGCCTGGGCTTGTCCTCCCATCTTTCCAATGGCTGGCCTTGGCCTGGGCGAGATGCTGCCAGGGGTCCCAGAGGACCTCTGTCTGTCATTCTGCCGCTGTCGGAGCCCGGAATGCCGGTCACTGCTCTGCTCAGGAGCTGGGGTTGGCGGTCCTGGGCTAGGGGTAAAAGAGGCGTCCAGGCATGCTGTGTCCCTTATCCCAACAGATGTGGAGGTGGGACACATACAGAGGCATGCACGAATGCCCACCTGTCTCTACATGCTATGACACGCCTTGTACGGTATACGCTCCCCAGGAAAACACAGAAACACACGTGTACAGAGACACGCCGCGCACTACAGCCCTCCTGCCCCTGCCCTTTTTCCCAAGCACCTTTTCATTTCACACTCACATCCACATCCACCCAGGCCCACCCACACCTGCGCTGCCCTGGAGAAGCACTGCACACGAACCACACACGTGCACATACATGTGGACATGCAGAGGGGAGCAGGGTGTGGTAGGGGGAGGTCAGGCTCTCTGGACTCTGAAGGAGCCTGGCTGTGCTTCCCAGCCTGGTCCGAGGGACTCCTGGCTGCTCTTGGCCCTCCCATTTGGGGTGCCTCCTCTGGGCAGGGTGCACCCGACTGCGAGAGGGGAGTGCGCATTTTCTGGTCCCCATCCCGTCCCGCAGACAAGCCGGATCCCCTCTTCCTGCACCCAGCCCTCAGAGATGCCCACCGGGGTCCCCCAAGGATGGGAGGGCTGGGACAGGGGCACCTATACTCAGCTTTTCTGCTGTCACTCCCCATGGAACTGGCGGAGCTGGGTGGAAGGCACCCCCGAGTCCCCGTGGGGGTCAGGAGCTGAGTCCTGGCTCCCCTCCTGCTCCCTGGGGCCCTGTCCTGTTCCCTCCCTGTATCCATGCCTCTCCGGCCTGGGGTCCCCTTTCTCCCTCTCTCCCCCTTGCCGCCATGTCCCTCCACCCTGTTTATCCTCTAGAAGAAAGATGGTCATTCTCAACTACCCCCAAACAGCCATCTTGGAGGCCCCGGCCAGAGGAGGGTGGCCTGTGTGTGGGTGTGCGCGGGGTTGTCTGGGAGAGGTCCTGCAGCCTGGGAGGGTGTGAGGGGCTGGGCCCGCGGTCCCCCTCCCCTGCCTTTGTTTGCTTTTTCCTTCGGGAGCCTTCATTTCGTCCTGGGAGATTGGAAGCACGTTTCCCTTCAGGGGAGGAAGGGAGACAAAAGAGAAATAAAAAACTGTCATCCCAGTCTTGTAAACACAGTGTGCAGGCCCAGCGTGGGCTCGGGGAGGCGGGGAAAGGTGCGAGGGAGCTGGGGAGGGGTGGGCAGGGAGGGCTGCCAAGGGGAGGAAAAAGATGAAAGGGTTGATCTGGGATGGTGAAAGGCCGGGAGGGGGAGACCCTATAATAAAGCTAGCAGGGCCCAGGAGGGAGAAGGCCCCCCGCAACTGTTCTAGAGTACTCTCCCCTGCCAGCCTCCGGACACCGAGGTGGCCAAAGGACATTCAAAGTCTCCTGGGTACAAAGCAGTGGCTTCGTGTGTCCAGCACTCGTCCTGTGCCAGGCACGGAGGGACAGAGAGGAAGAGCGACCTGCCCAGTGACACACAGCAGAGGTGGAGGGAGGGGGCCTGGTGCCTGCCTGGGGCTGTAGACTGCAGTCCTCCTCCTGCACAGCATGGAGGCTGGGAAAGAGGTCTGGGGTCTGGCTCTGCTGCCCCGTTGTGTGTCCTTGAACAAGTCTTCCTCTGGGCCATGTTTCCTGGTCCCGAAAAGCAGAGTGTGCTGGTAGCTCTGCGGCTCTGTGAGGTTTGGGGAGGATCAAACGCAGGATGTGATGGGCTGCCCTCTTGTTCTCTTGAAAACCGGCTTTGGGCTTCAAGAGGAGCAAAGACCAGCAGGCTGGGGTGACAAACCGGACCCAGCCCTGCTGCCTCCACGGCTGGAGCCCAACTTCACTTTCTGCTGCCACCCAGTGGCAAGAACTGGGTACTGCAGGTGATGGATTGGAACCAGCTCCCCGGAACCTTGAGTCCACCAGGGGGTAGGACCAGAAGGTGCCTGGGGGGAGTGCTGTCTGGGTCTCCCTGGCCTCACTTTGCACATACTCAAAGAGGGGAGGGAGGGATTTGCTCCCAGGTCCTCCAGGGAAGAAACAGAGACTGGGATTAGATCTCAGGGCGGGTGCATCCCTTTAGCCCCTCGGCAT